AAGGAATGTGCTCAAAAGACTTCTGTATTTCGACCGATCAACAAGTGTTTCTTTTAATTGTCTGACAAATTGTGAAAAGTTTTGTGCAGTTTTATAGTCTTTAAGTCTACAAATGTAGAGCTCACTTCCAATTTAAGAGAATGTTATCTGAAGATTTGTCTATTTTTCCGCACTTGAATGTGGCTGCGGATTCTTCTTCATAAGCGGATTTGTGCATTGACTGAAAAATTGTGATAAAATATGTCTTTTGGTAATTTTATGTCCACAAAAGACGAGCTCACTTCCAATTTAAGAGAATGTAATCTGAAGATTTGTGTATTTTTCCGCACTTGAATGCGGCGGTGGATTCTTCTTCAAAGGCGGATCTGAGCATTGACTGAAAAATTGTGATAAATCTCTCAATTTGGAAGCTTCATGTCCACAAAAGGCAACTTCATTTGCAATTTAAGCGTATTTGTTCAACAGCATTTACTCAAAAGTAGTGGTAAATCTGTACTATTTGCAATCTCTATGTCTACAAAAGACGAGCTCACTTACAATTTAAGAGAAAGTAATCGCCGTCAACATAATTCCACGGCCATTTCTCTTCACGAGTGTCCCTGCACTGACTGCAAAATTGTGATAAATTTGTCTTTTTGCACAATTTCGCTCTACAGCGGATGAATTCATTTCCAATTTGTAGATTCCTGACACTCTCTAGACGGCGACAGAGGATCTTAGAATTGTCCTACAACTTGTGCTGAATGTGTCTTCTTGCGGTCTTTATGTCTACAAACGGCGATCTCATTTGCAATTTGTGACAACCTAATCAAGCTCTCTGGCGACGTCGTTTTCCTTCGCACTGAACCATTCTGGTTGATGCTGTTGATTGCGATGACAAATTGCCCACTTCTTTCTGATGTGGCACCCTTTCCATGTGAACCATGAACTTCACATGCTCCTTTTGTTTACAACTTCCAACTCCCTCGTTCCATAGAAACACCGCCAACGTGTCGAGTCCGACATGTCGTCGTCAACGCAGTCACAAGATTGCCATCTCGTGTACCGGTCGTGTCGACTTGCCACACCCTCCGTAGACGCCCAAATGAGGCTGGCTGTTGTACGGCAGTTGGTGCAAGGCAAACAGGAAGCCATTTGCCCATCCGTTACGACAATGGCCGCCATTTCTGCTGTTCAGCAAATCCGATGGGCAACGCCCTTCCGTGTTTCCCTGCCTCCCTCCACTTCACTCCTCCCAGCCGCCCAATTATCCCATTCTACTGGTCGGTAGAAACGGTTGCCAAGGCAACTGGACAGATCAAGGCCGGCCCAAACTGGTGAATGCAGATTGAGGCAAGCATGGGATGGATCGCGAAAGGATGGGATTTAGCTCCAATTTGTCCACTTTAGTGGTACCTGTTTGGGCATCTGGATGACTCATTTGCGCCATGTTGGCATATGACATAAATGGTACCATGTATGTATGTCCTTGCGGGTCGAGGTGTGTTTATGCATGGCCGAACATGCAGGTTTCCATTTTTATCTTTGTCTACTTGTGCCTATGGCATCAAAGTGTTTCCCGGGCAGCAAATCGATGCGTAACCCACTTTTGCCAGGAGATTATGCACAAAAAGCGTAATTTGCTACAAGTTATTGTCCATCATTTTGCAATGCCGATGAATGGAAGACGTACTTGAGGTTTCTAGAAAGTTCCATGAACCGGTGAAATAGTGAGCTATGGGAACAATGCCTACAAGAGCATTGACACCGAGTAGCTCAGTGATACCTTGGTTTCGTGACCTCTTGTCTCCTCTTGCTGAATCAGGTTGGTACGAGAGGTTTGCCCTATTATGAGACAATTTGTTTGAACACAAAATGGCATACAAAAGTTGACGAATTCAAAGATGGACCGGCCAATAAGCGGACTTGAACTAGTTGTGGCCTTTGAATAGGATAATGAAGATAACGAAAGAGGTCTGAAGAG